TGTATAAGTATTATATTTGATTTTTCTCAAATTGGAGTATAGTTACATTATAAACAAATAGAAGGAAGACCAATTTATAGAGAAAGCTTAGATAGTGCAACGTACGAATCGCTCTGTTCCGGTATTCAGGCTTGAAAACGTCAGCTTATAATTAGCCTAATTATAGAGTAGTGCGGAATTCTGTGAATGCAACAACCCGTTGAGCACCCTTTCGCGCGCGAATGCCATGCTTGCACAATATCGACAATGAATGCACGTGCGTGCGTTGTCAAGAGGGATTCTCAATTGAATGATCGCGATGTTATCTTGTTAACTGCAATTGACTTTATTACTCTTTGTCTTCGATATAGTCTGTCTACATTTTCTAGAATGTAATTTCCACTTTATAAAGCCATCGTTATCAGAAAGACGTATCAATTCTTAATCTTTTTCTTTCTTAACATTTATTATATTGGCTCGTATTTACGCAATGGAAGAAAAACTTACAAAATATAAAACATTTCTAAAAACGTGATATATATCAATAAAAATGTAATAAGATTAATTAATTTCTTATTATTTTGTCTTAATATTTTTACATGTAAAGCATGCAAAGCATGTAAAAATAATGTATAATTTTAAATCACTGAGTCTCGACTCTTATTATAGTCTTATTATAACATTTCTAGATTTATTGTGACATATGCTGTCATAATCCATTGCCTCATATTTCCCGATGTGATCAGTTTATGCCATACATTGTAACGTTCCTTAAAAGAAAAAAAAATTAAGTGGCATTAAGTCGGAGGAACAAGATGACCATAAAATTGGTCCTTCATGTTCTATCCATCAATCAAGATAAATTTTACTAACAATAAGATGATTTTTTTTTAAATTTTATTAATGAAAAAAATTTATATTGTAGAAATATAATATATTTTATTTTATTAGGGAAAAGATTACGTACTTTTCGAAGAAAAAAATATATTACATTGATAAAGGCAATCAAAATAAACTTTAGTTCAATAAAATTTTAATTTGAAAATTAAATACAAAGTTATTCTCTGCTTCACGACAACTGTGTAATATTGAAAATCATAAATGCTTAATATTGGTCATTGCAGCATATTTTGAGAATCTTTCTGCGTCTTCTCATTGTTCCAAGGTCAAAAGCTATCACTTGCAATATTTGAATTATGAATGCGCTAGCCGCGCGCGCATGTTGCAAATAACCAATTATATTATGGCGTATGCAAATGAAAGCCGGCTGTAACCACACGTTGTTTCCATTGACTTCCTACTGTTCACTTGGTATTTCACTTTTTCCATTTCTCTTCTTATTCACTCCCGTCTCTTTCGTGTCATATCGCGCGTGTAGTATCTTCGCAACGAGCGATGATACTTGGCATCCAAGTACGCAGCCCAAATAGCGAACGGTCGGGAAGATACACGCGACGGACATTTAAATATTCAAATATTATCATGAGCGAATATTATTTTCATACCTGAAAACTTATACAGGGTATCGTATAAATTTTTCTCAAAAGATACTTGAAAATAATTGTTTATAAATATCTACATATTTGGATATTAATGCATGTAAATACTTGATGTCCGAATATTATAATATCTTGACAGTTAAACAATTAAATATTTGGACATTAAAACAATATTCGACATTTGATATTTAAACATTAGATTATTTGGATATTCGAACAATAACAGACTTAAATATATTTCAATATTTCTAGATTTTTATACGTGACATTCCCATCAAAATACATTTTTAATAAATTCTCAAAAAAGTTATTTCTCTAACTTGAAATGCCGATATTAATTCGCTCCACTTTATTCCGATGATGCGAGATGCGCATGTTAAAAATCGACTTTGAAGACTTTCTATAATCCCGAGATCGCCTCTCACCATCTTTCGTGCTTGCTTGCGGCATCGCTTACAGCTCCATTCAAAAACGCAAATAATCTCGACATCCAGGGGCGCACGCAAAAATTTTTTATGGAATCGCGGAAACAGAAAGATTTGAAATCTTATCATAAATCGAACGAAAAGTATCACACAATTTCATGTATTTGTTTTTATACTTTTATTATATTTTACTATGTATAAAATGGAATTATATATAATGATACATATTTTATATATAATTTAACATATTTATATATAATTTAAAAAAATATAAATTTTTGTGTTTCTTTTAAGAAACCGTTATTTCGATTTAAAAATTAATCTACTCTGTTGAATATATCCAAATGCATGGAGGTAGTCATTATTAAACAAATAAAATGCATATTATGTAAAAATACGTAAAATATTATTACGGATATTGTTTCTTTTTTTGTCACAATAAAATTAATAATGTTTCGCTGTCAATTTTACGTTGATACAATACTAGATACAATCAAATGATAATAATGAAACAAAAGCTACTTTTTTGCGTGCGCCTCTGCATGAATTTCCAAATGCAATCGATCCGCTGAATAACATGTCTGGATTGCAACATCCTTTCGAAATTACTAACGCACGAGACTTGTTTAAGTAAATCATAGGCCGCTCGTGCCGATTTCCAGTATGCTAATGTCACTTAAGGCATCAATAACTTCATAATGTCGAGTGATTAAAAAGTTCAAGGGCCAACAAATTAACCCATCTCGTAATTTGGTTAGCCGGACCATTCGATGCTTTTTTTATGTAGCTTCAATATTGACTCATATATAATGTGTAAATTATCAAATATTTTATTGTAATGTTTTATCCAAGGATAAAAAATAGTATTAAAATATTCTTCGAATATCATTACGATATATTATCATTGCGATTACCTTGTACGCTTACAAATTTATATTAAATAAATTCTCATAATATGGCTCCTGACATCATTTCAATTGGAATGCAAGGGAGACATTTTACATCGTTGTCACGTAATCGACACATTATTCTGAATTCCTATAGAAATCCGGCACACGCAATCCGATAATGTGTGCACGTGCGAAACTCCTGGATCTCGATCGTCAATCCGGTGTGATCAATAATTAGTATTTATAGATATTAGTTATAAACAACTGCTTGTAATAAGAAAGAAAATGCCCTTTCGAGAAAAAAAAAAAACTTAAAAGAAAAAAAGGGAAAGAAAAAGAAATAGGTAGATTTCGCAATTCTCGAAGAAGGAGTATAAACGCAGAATTACATATGCATTATCAGTAAATACTTCAGCCTTTTTTTTGTTAATACAAGCGTTTCCTAATGGAAGAAATCTATAAGTAATTCAGAGAATAACGGTGCTGAAAGTACCTAAAAGTTCAAAGTACAATATTACCTCGCTTCATGAGCGATTGTTCGCTTCGATTTATGACAAGAAAACTATCCAAACTATACCTCACCGATCTTTTGATCAGTTTTTAATATATTTTAAGACTGTTAAAAATAAGACTTTTTCTATGTATATTTTCTCGTTCAAGAATTGAAACGACTCTTTAAAAGTAAGTCGATATATTTGATTGAAACATATACTAATCATAAATTAAATTTATACAAAAAAAAACTTTTAATAAACCTTTACATTATTCAGCTGTTTGAGTAAAAAATAAAAACTGATAAATCTATAATTACACGTTTTTACATGCATTTGCAACTATTCTCGCAAAGCAAGATCTACCTTATATCATAGTGTGTTCTAGTTTGAAACAGAGCCTTTAATTATCTAAATCTATAATTATTATATGAAACTGGATTTATTGTAGACTTTGTTTTGCACTGAAAACACGGGTGGAACTCGTTTAAAGCACCGGACAATGCGGGATTCATGTTCACTAATGTAAAGGCTTACTTATATGCATTAGTTATTCATTGTAAAAATTCTACTTTTCGAAAAGAACTGTTTGAAGAGGAATGCAAATGAAAGAGAGAAACAAGTGTGCTCGGTCCATTCGAACTGGTTACTACGCGAATTACGGATTGTTCGGTTGCAGGCAATAAAGAGAAGCTCACCTTGAGGAAACGCTGCGGCTCACGCCTCGGTTCATTGAGGACATCTCATCGTCACGATCCAGATGATCCTTGAACCGGCTGCTGTATTTTGACTCAAGAACGCTGCCGAGTTCGATCATATTCGCGAAATTTTCGTATATCTACGCGCACAATCGATATCCCATAGAAGCGGATGATATATATATATATATATATAGAGAGAGAGAGAGAGAGATAAGGAGGAGAGAGATATTTTATATGTAACGGTGTAATAATTTCGTCGTTTGAAACGCCGTCACGCGTGTAGGCTGTATCCGCATTTAAAGCCGGGATTCGCTAATTAACGCGAGTAGCGTGCGATTTACTGACACATCACGCTCACGACAGTTATATGCACGTGAATTAAACTATAATGCGCAATTAGGTGCAATCCATAATAGGTGTAATTGTGCCAAGTTCCGGCAATGATTCAGAAGTTGTTTTTGGCCGATTAAAATAGAAATTATTTGAGAAATCCTTTTAAAAAAATTAACCTTATACATAAGATAAAATGACAGATCAAATTTGACAACAACAGAATTTAGTTTATTAGATAAATATATGTAATAATAACTGTATTTGTTTAGAGTGTGTGTAAATTTGTAAGGCGATACTCTTATGTGTGACAGATGGTATATAATTCTATTACACTAAAATTGTAATAATCAAGTAGGCAAACGAGCTTAATTTCGTTTCATCCAGGCCTTTTATCCAGGGTTCAGTCAAAGATCACGGCGCATAAATAACTCCAACAAAGAGCTAATTGTCACGGGACTCTGTACTATAGTTTATAGTTTAATGCACGTCAATGTCCGTCAACGTGGAAGTCATCGCGATTGTCTCAAGGGCACATAACTTTACGATGCGACTCGCATTAATAATCGCGACCCCTACTTCCCGTCCCCCTTCTGTGTCCCTGTCTTCAATGTCTCCCTAATATAAAATGGTAGGTAGTCACACTTACTGATCTTATTTTGCTCTTTCCTTATCTCTGTTGCAGCGCTCTCTACAGCCACCGAGGATGTGGGAGACGGGCCCCAAGGGCACGAAAACGACACCGGTGAGTGAGTTTCTCAATAAAAAATTTTGTGTTTCTCTTTTTTTTAATCTTTTGTTTTTTCGCACGAATTCGGAACAAATAAATTTTAAAAGATTTTATGAGAATCGTTAATTTTACGAGAGAGAGAGAGAGTTGTTAATGATAAATTTTATTTCTTTCTGAATTGACCCTCTATTACATTGGTCTTATTTTAAGACCATGAATTAAATACGTAGCTATAGTTTCTGTACGATTTTAATATAATTTGAAAACTAATGAAAACTTATAATCAGAAAGTTATAAATTGTTAATTATACAAAAAAAGACAAGATTAATCATTTTCCGTAGCTTTTTTTTACGCCGAATACAATTCCAGTTTTTAGTTTGTTGAGATTTGGCGCAGGGTCGAATGATTCAGTTTTCCAGTGAGTGACTAGATTAATGCTAGAATAATAACACACACGTAATTGATGCATTCGACTGATGGAACGTCAATTGAATCACGATTACTAATTATAAGGTATAATTTACCGTAATTATTTAGTATATTCGAATATACAATACTATCCAAGTTTTAATACATTATTAAGGATATGTACTCGCTGAATCAATGTTTTTGCAACAAAAGCAAATATATCTCGAAAAGTTCTGTCATTAACTCGCGACAGTGAATGATTAATTAGCGCTTGTACGAGACAGTAATTCTTTCCGAGAATACACGAGCACGAATGTCTGTCTAATTTCATGTAAATAAAGGATTGGCTGTAAATAAAGTTTATGCTACTGTGACAAACCAGCTGTCATAGTAATAGCCCACATATGCGCGCATGCAAATTTTTGCATTGTGCATTCACGAAATGAGTCACGTCAAATTTACATGAGAACTGATTTTTCACTTTTTTATAATAAATAAGGTTATATAAGCATGGGACTACAAAAACAAAAGAAATATATGGAAGGCCTTTTGCAATTTTGAGGAGTTTTAAATATGTAGATCAAAATAAGAGATACGTATTCTTTTATAAATCCTTTCTCGCACATTTAGGAATTAAAACAACCTCTCGAACATGATTCGATATATCTGATTTCGAATGAATAACATCCAAGTTATGAAATATATAAAAAAGACTATTTCAGACAAAATTTTTATAACTTGCATGTCAGTAATTATTTTACATTTTTTATTATTACATAAAAACTATATGGTAAAAAATTTCAAATTTTTTCATTAATATCATACTTCTCAATAAATTGTAATTATTTTTAATTGCGCGTCTTTTATACACAATTAATTTCATTATTTAAGATGACAAGGTCTTTTATTTGCTTATAATCATATATAAAATCATGTAAGTTATATAAAAAGATATTTTTGAAGAGATGTGTGAGAATCTTCATTGAAATCTGTGATCTCTGTCGATCAGCTGTTGAAGCTGTCACTGCACAAAACCACGTGTCATTCCATTTGAGTTCAGTGCATAAAATTGTAACTCTGACGTCCTCTAGCGAAGTATTCACTCGTACCATGTTGAATATACTGTAGGTAAAACAGAGATCCTTCTACTGGCTAGTTGATAATGTATCTTTTATAATTTACTTATCGACTTATGATAGCTTGATACTTATGGTAAGTTTTCAAATTTTGTAGCTGTTGATCATATCATCTTTGGTAATATCTAGATGATATTATTTATCGTGCACGATAAATTAAAGCGCTTTATCAATATTATTATTTAATTGCATTTAGTATATCAATCATCTTGTTATGCTTATTGCACGATCTCTCTCTCATCATTATTAAATATTATTTACCACTCGTCTATACATTATAGTATTTTAATAATAATTTTACGATTTATATCATAAATAATCATTGTTTTCACTTTTTTTAATTAATTAAATAATAAAATTTGCAAATATTATAATAAAGATATATATACGTAACAAAAATAAAATAGGTACATATACGTAACTTATGTAATACGGTTAGCGCCCGACATAAAAGCTGTGTAAACAATGCACAAATCAGATATCAAAATTATTTCAAGTAGAAACGCAGTTAACGCTGCACACGTGGCAATATTGCGTAAGATTGCAATCTTACGAATTAATCAGAGACTTACAAAAACTTAACTTGATCAGATATTTAAAATATTCCAAAGAAATTCACGGTTATCTTTAACAGCGTTATCAATAATAATTCGATATTATATCTAACATAGAAGCTTTAATCTAGAATGCTTAAAAATAGAAGAAGAAGGCTTATGTACTTTTGCATTTTTTTATATAACCCAGTAAGCAATTTGATAACAAATTGTTGCCAAATTGGCATCAAATTAATTCTCGTTGTTCTTCTATTCTCTTCTTTTAAAAATTAATATAAATTTCTAAAATCTTTGTAGTAAAACAGTTTGTTTTAAAATTTTTAAATAAATATATAGCTAAAATTTTATTTATACACATTTTAAGTGTTTTCTGGTTTTAGCACAAATTTGAAAAAGAATCCTCGGATCTTTGACTAAAAAAAAAATTTATCATACATTATATCTTTTCTTTTTGGTTACAAAAAATTATATGAGGTACTTCATACTTTGTACAAAGTACAATAAGCAATAACCTTTTTTATAACATCACCTTTGTGCAAACATTCTTATATATAAAAGCAGCAACTGTAATAGCTCATCTTTTCTCTCTTAAGAGTTCTTAGAAAAAAAAAATATATATTATACTATTTTAATTTTTGAGACAATAATGCACTATTTTCGAGAATGCCACTAAAAATATTGTCTATTGAATATCGAAATATCTCGGACATAAATACAATAAATATACAAATATGCACAAATATTTGCGCATCCTTAAACAATACTTATACTGTATCGGTTATCTGTCTTGTTAAACCGCCTCCTGCGGTTCAATTGTCGCTTAACCTCCGGTCTTAACGAGACTTGACAATAAACGCCAACTGCTCTGGTGCTACGCAATGCTGACGTTTTCCAATTGAGAAAAGGCAAAAAAAGAGATCATTTCGATTTCTGACTCGAAAACGGATAAATAAAATTTCAATATAAAAGTTCAATAAAAGCATACTAATGAGATTTCTTTCTTAAAGAGGTTTTAAGAGGTTTTTTTTCAAAGCATTCAATAACTTGCCAAAAAGAAATAAAACTTGCAAAGAAATAAAACTTCCGCAAATATTTTAATAAGAGAAAAAATAAAGGTTTAAAAAAGATTTCAGATCAAGAATATATAGTTAAAGATTTTTCTCTTTCTTCTCTCTACGTGAAAATAATTTTCTTTTAGAAGACTTTTATTATTATACATTTCATAACAATGACGTCGAAAATGTTGCAAGACGTACTTCGTCAAAGATCTATCGCGCAAATAATCATGTTGATTTCCCGTTAATCAAGCTCTTTCGTTTGATCGAATTTGCTTTTTTCTTTTCCGCCTGTATTCATTCAATATTTATTCAAGTCACATGTAGTCGGCAATTCAATGTCGAATCGTTGAAGAATTATTATATATCGATCTTAATCATTAACATAATACATCAGGCCTTCATCAATATACTGTTTACGTCATCACCAATCATGTGCACATTAATGGAAATTTGTATGCTTGATAATTTGAAAAAGAGAAGGCGATTTCGTCAAAATTACATAATTGGCGATCACAACCAAATGTTGCGAAAATATTTACAATATCATTTAATTATTTTTGAAAGCAAATAAGTAAGGTAATGAAAAAGTCAATATTTTGCTAGAGATATTTTTTTATATTTTATTTATTATATTTATTTATATTTTATGTTAGAAAATTGCTTTATTCCATCAAGTTAATTATACGTCGTATCCTTAATGACGTCGCTTGTAAAACTGTTGTCATTTAATTCGCAAGCCTCGTCCTAATTCGATCATTAAACGCTGCAACGAGAGACAATGGTATATCGCATGCTTAGGGGGAATAGGGAAGTGGTCCATGTGGTACACGAGCATGGCACGTGCGTCTTGCTCCCGCAAGACAAGTTTAGGTTTAGGTTTCACGTTCGACAATCGTGACTCTTTTTTTTTTGCGCGCGCGCGTCCACTCGAAAGGATGTGACGCACGTAATTGGTTCTAATTGGTTAACCAATTGCCACGACCAATTGGCCGATGGAAAGCTAGTCTATTAGATTTAAACGAGCATCGAAACTGTTTGTGCAAATAATGGATCATGCGAATGAAAGTGAAACATAAGCAAAAGAATATATGAATACATTTATTTTAATCAAGATTAAAATATTTTATTTATTTTATCTTACAGGATAACATTAAAATAAGCAACATTATAGTTTGCGAACGTGTTTCTTAACTAATTTTAGAATCAATCATGATGTTCGAATTGACAAATGTTTTGCGACTATAATCATTTTCTTTTATAATATCATTTCCGAGAAAATTATTATTTTTTGTTTTTAAAAAATTTATCGGGGAACAAGATCTTTTGAATTTCCAATTCATTAAAATAAAAATTCTATTAAAGCAAAGATTGTACGCTCAAAAGAGAAGAATAAGATTCTTTTTCTACATAAATTCTTGCGAATGCTCGGCTGATTTTTAACTTCGTACGAATCTGTAATTATGAAATGAAATTCGGATATTTAGATCGGGATATCTAATCGTCGAACCCAGAGTCGGCGGAAATTATAACGGTTGACCTCGGAGCGCCTAGCAACAAGTATGGGCAATGTCCTTTCGAGAGATGTGATCCCTATGCTCTTCCACAAGATGTCCAGGTTCTCATATCGTGTTAGGTATATTGATCGAAGTAATCGGATAGTCGCTAAAAAAAGAATATTAACAATTCATCGAAAAAAAAAGTCTTCTAAAATGATTAACTTGGGGAAAAAAAAATCTTAAAAATTCTCCAAATGCTTTGTTTTAATTTTTTTTAGAGATATAGAATTTTATTTCAGATTGTCGTCTCTATAGAATAATCCTTTAATTTTCGAGCGGTGTAATATTTCCGATCCACGTAC